ACTCTGTGCTGATAGCTCAGAGCCTGGAGCCTGCTTCCGATTCTGTGTCTCCCTCTCTCTCTGCTCCTCCCCCACTCACACTCTACCTGTCTCCCTCTCTCAAAAATAAACATTAAAAATTTTTTTTAAAAAAGCTTCCTATTTGGGGCGCCTGGGTGGCGCAGTCGGTTAAGCATCCAACTTCTTCCCAGGTCGCGAATCTGTGGTCACATGCATTGAGTTGGGCAGCGTCGAGCTCTGGGCGTGGCTCAGAGCCTGAGCCTGTATTTCCTACATTCTGTGTGTCTCCTCTCTCTCCTGCCCTCCTGCGTTCGTGCTCTCAAATGCTCTCTCTGTCCCCCAAATAAATAAACGTTGAAAAAAAAAATTAAAAAAAAAAAAAGCTTCCTATTTGCATAGAGTTTATAATATCTTTAAAAATGCTGAGATGTGGAAATACACTTAGAAAGAAAACAACCCCATTGTATTGACTGAAAAAGAACAAACGAATGTTGTCGTTGTCCAATATTCAATTTCCCTTCCTGTCTTACAAATGAAGATATTTGACCAAAAAATTATTAAATGAATTTAACAGAATTCAGAATATATGAAAAGTCAAGAGTATGCTTCAGTTAAACAACAGTAAGCCCTATACTAAATGCTTTGCCCATATTAGCTTAGTCAATCTTTTACACAAGTCTTTGAAGTGATACTATAATCCCATTTCACAGAGGTCCAGAGAGATTAAATGACTGGCCCAAGGTCACAGAGCCAGTTAGTGGAGGAGTAAGAATTGGAACTCAGGTCTCTCACTCCAAAGCCTACCATCCTAAACACAAAGCTATTCTGAAACAACTCGACTTGCAGTCCAATACTCTCATTGTCCAAGACACTGCCTTTCTAAACACACTCTAAGTAAATTCATTCTAGGACTTGGTTTCCCCTCTCTCCATGTACACTTCTCACATGCACAGATGCATTAAGCAGGGGGTTCCTATTTCTACTCAGAAGAATGCAAATCCAGAAATCCAAGTTCTCAAAAGATTAGCCTCTCTCTGTCTCCTTCTGCTATTACATAAATATGACAGGTCTGTTGTGCTAGACTCACAGAGAAGTAATTTCTTTTGGCTGAGATATTGGGATTGTTGTCACTCCAATCATATGCGAGTTCCTCCTCCTCCTTCTCATTCAACCAGATCAACTCAGCTGTAGCTCTGGAGACAAATTTATGCAGGCTCTGAAGGTGCCTCATCCGGAAGCTGGAAGTTTCCTAGACAAAGCAGGGATTACACGGTTAGACTGCCAGGCTTTCATCTGTAGAAGATAGCACATGTGACATCAAAGCAAAGAATAATGCAGGAAATAAATTTAGCCTTGATTTTTCATCTCTGGGTGCTCCTCATGGACTCAAATTTAAATTTAGTACAAGTTTAGCACAGGACTCCCAGAGCCCTGGTCAATCCTAGCAAGAAGTTGCAACTCACCAGGCTTCTGTGGGGCTCCCTGAATAAAGAATGATCCTAGGCCTGTCCTACTCTGGACAATCTTGAAAGATGGGAATGAAGAACAGAAGAAGAGTCTCCTTCCTACCAACCTCAAACTTTTTGTTCTGGTGTCTCAAAGCATATACAGGCACTGCTTTGGTAAGACACGGAAACTGGGACAGGTTCTACTTAATTTAAACTTTCTGGGGCAGTGATTTCTGATCCACTAAGAAAATTGAGAAAATGTTGTAATACATATAACAATTGCACAGTAAATGATATAACCTAATAAGCAGAAAACCAAAACAGGGCCAAACCGCAGACTTTCTGAATTAGGGAAGACAGTTGTTTGGAAGGAACTAGACAGTCCATGAAGAGAACAAAAGAGTCAAAACTCACCTTCAGTTTACAATACTGCGTCTCCAGCTTTCCAAGAGTTTCAACATAACTGGTATGGAAATTCTGGGACATTTTTCCCTGATAAAAAATGAAATAAAGATGTATTAGAGAAAGAGTAAGTAAACTATATGTACAGTATGTTTTCAACTATGTCTGCACATAGTTAGGGACTGATTACCCCAGAAACAGAAGTTGAGATAACAGATCTCTGGGTCAGGTTTTAAAGCCTGGAGAAACACTGTATTTTAACTAAGTTGAATTTAAATAAAAAAAAAAAAAAATTATGGGCCAAACCAAGAAATAGACTCTTAATGCTAGAGAACAAATTGATCGTTACCAGAGGGGAGGTAGGTAGGGGGACGGGTTAAATAGGTGATGGGGATTAAGGAGTCTTGTTGTGGGGGCAGCTAAGCGTCCAACTTTGGCTCAGGTCATGATCTCATGGTCTGTGGGCTTGAGCCCCACATCGGGCTCTGCACTGACAACTGCAAGGCCTGCTTGGGATTCTCCCTCTCTCCCTCTTCTCTCTGTCCCTTCCCCACCCCAACTCAAAATAAATACATAAACTTAAAAAAAAAAAAAATTAAAAAAAAAGAAAAAGAAAGAAGAAATTAAAAAAATATTTTTATTCCAAAAAAAAAAAAAAAAAAAAAAAGGAGTGCACTTATGATGAGCACCAGGTGATGTTTGGAAGTGTTGAATCACTGTACTGTATACCTGAAACTAACATTACTCTGTTAGCTAACTGGAATTTAAATAAAAACTTAAAAAATAAAAATAAAAAATAAAGCCTGGGGCAGCCATGAGTGAGGGACGGTTTAGTGGAGTGAACACAGCTGAGAGACTTTGTGCTTCCAGTAACTCTGGGAGGTTTCTAGCAAAACTTATGCCTGATGATTCCCAAACTATTCGGCTGCTTTTTTGCAGGGGAAAGTTGAAATTACAAATGGGAAGACAGAATGAGTGAGGGAGAGACTGAGTGAGTAGTTTTTCTATTCCAGCACGCCCTACAGGCAGGAGGTGAAGTGGAAACAAGATGAGGTTCTGGAGCAGGACTGTTTGGAAACTGCACCCACCATGCACTGATTCTGACCTTAGCTTTCAGAATTGCTACTCCTTTTAGTAAAAACGGGTTAATAAAAATACTTTGCTCATAAGGGCATTTCAAAAAGCAAAAGAGACACTTGATGTGGAAAGGGAATTTGGTGGAAAGTGCTGCTCATGGTTCTCATTCTTTTCCAGAGCCTCCTTCTCCCTAGAGACAGCTGCACTGTGCACGCTACCCCATTACCCATCCCACCCCACCGCACCCCGCTCCGTGATGGATTCTGAATGCACACACCTCATACAGCCTGGCCTCTTTGACACTTGAGCCCAGTTCTTCCACACTGGTGTGGATGTGCTGTTGTGTCTCCAGCTGTAACTCCACACTAGGCAGGTCATTGCCCCACTCTGCTCGCTCCAGTTTCATCTGGAAAAGAAAAGATATGTATTTCATTGGTTGAATCAGCAAAAAAAGAAAATTTTCAGAACTGATGTTTGGGCAAGGGGGCTGAGGGTAGGAGACTGGGCAAGAGGACACCTAAGCCATCTCCATCACGGCCTCTTATAGGAAAACATGCCATTATCACCCCAAAGAGCTGGAGACTAAATTCCAACTCCTGCAGCAGGGGCAGCCTTTTGTTGCCGCATTACGGGATACATTCCTGAATTCACCAACCAGAAAGGTGTTTTCAAAGGCTGAAGGTTAACTTTATAGTTTAGGCATTTTCCATTATGAAGCTCTGCATTTCACAATCAGAGTGGATATAAGAAAGAAATATCTGAAAATATTAAACTTCATTCATGGCATCAACTATTGACCAGTGGCAGGTAATATTTAAATAGCTTGTCTTTGGATGTTTTTATTTGTCGCTACATGGGGAATCGGCCATCAGGGCATGGGAAGAATTTCATGTAAAACAAACGCATTAGAAGGATAAAAAGGACAGTATCGAACTTGAACCACTATTCTGGAATACATGCATGCACAGCCCCTCAGAACTGTGAGGCACAGCACTGCTTAAACTCCAGAGGGAAGACCAACAACAAAGAGTGAGGGATAAGCTCCTCTGCTGATGAGGGAGTTTCAGAAAAGGTAACTGAGATTTATAGACTGTAATTTCTCCCATGAGCTCCACTTAGAGTACAGTTAACTGAAGGGAATGATTCCCAAAGGGCTTCCAATCAGAAAAGCCTATGCTATCCGGTGTGGGACTTTTGAGGATTTGAGCTGACCCTACCCATTTAACATTTGAGAAGGGGGCTTGGGTTCCAGGCAGCATTAATAATTTAGAGTTTATCCAAGGGGCACAGAGCATCCTGGCACTCCTAGACAAGCTGCTGGGTCCAGTAAACCTTAACACATTGCATAAGCATTTGGAACATACACCCACCTGCATTTCTTCTACCCAAGACAGTAGTTCATACACAAATCGAAGATTGCCTTCATCCTCAGAGGATGAGATAGACACAAGTTCAGCCCGAGTCATGGGTTTTCGGAACCAGGAGGTAGAGGAAGAATGGGTTCCCTTGGTCAAGGGTTCTGCCTTCAGACGAGTAGTGGTTAAAGTAGAGGGTGGAGCCAATTCAAGTGAAGTGAAATGGCCCTTCCTATACAAGTTTGTGCACTCTAGACGCAGGGTGACCAGCTCGTCTTGCAGACGCATAACCCTGAAATGGAGTAAGAGAAAAAAGGAAAACACTTAAATCTATAATACACATTTTTTTAAGTGGGTTCCACAACCAATGTGGGGCTTGAACTCACAACCCTGACATCAAGAGTTGCATGCCAGCCAGGCGCCCCTGAAACGCACTTTTTAAAGATAAAATATTCCCTATCCGTTTGACAAGGATGAGGTAAAAATAAAAATGAGATCATATCAGGAAAAGTGTTTTGAAAAAAGAAGTGTTATAGGAACACAAGGTGGTTTTAACATCTTCGTCATTCAGAGTTGTTGAGGCAAATGCCAAATTACAGTGTTAATTGGAGGGAGGCAAACCAGTATCTGTTTATGTAACTCCTGGATGGTACAACAGAATAAACATGGATTAGGGACCAAAAGACATGAGTCTTAGTCTTGGTCCTGTACAAACTGCGTGACCTAGGTGATGCCCATCCCCTCAATAGGTCTTAGTTTTTTCTACAAAATGATGCGTTCGATCGGCAGCAGTTCTAACCCAGATGTGGTACTGCATCCCAGTAGGTCACCCTGAAATATGTGTGGGCGTTATAAGAGGCCACAGTGATTAGGGAATCCTACAGGTACTAAGTGGGCAGGGCCTGCAATAAGGGGCAAGTGTCCTCCACCATGAGAATTTTCCTGCCCCACATACCTGTAGTATCCCCACCAAGACACGGACCTCCAAGACCCAAGTTACAAGATTCAGTGCCAGACTCTTGATCTGTGAGCCTCAGCGATAAGCAAGCCCTCTGTCTGAGCCCCGTGCTCCTCACCTAAAAGCCAGCTCTTCCAGCTGGTAGTAATTCTCATCCCGTAGGATCTGGAGGTCCACCTGCAGCTGCCTGATGAGACCCTCACATTCCTGAATGTACATGATGACATCTGACTCGCACTGTACCGGTTGTCCCGATTCCAGGTGAGCAGCGTCCTAAGACAGAAAAGGAGTAATAGGAGTGGGAGAATGCCAGTGCCCCACCCACGAGGACTGAGGGAGCCGCGTGTGAGGAAGTGACACAGCTGGATTTCTCAATCGTGAATCTGGACCATCAGCGCACAGGGTGAGAAGGGGAGAGACAACACAGACACTCACAGCCTGCAGTGTATTCTTAGCTAGTGTCAGCTTCTCTTCACAGTTCAAAGCACCATTCTGGATTTTGTTCGCAATCTGTAGCAGCAATTCCAGCCTATAATAAGATAAAAACCGTAGTCACGTGCTGGGCTCAAAGCGGCCCGGGTGGGTAACATCAGGTTGCCGTCAGGCCCTGAGCCCACCTCTCCACAGCTGGGCGAAGCGACTTCTCTCGCTCCAGCATCTCGATGATGAGCTTTCCCCATTCTTCCTCCACATCATTTGGGTGGTAACCTTGAGGCAGTTTAATCCGGCCAAACTCAATCCACACCTGAAAAATCCCAGAGACACTCTTTTAGTCCGAAAACACAGCCGTGCCCTCAGGCCCACTTTTACGTGTTCTTGACACATGGCTTCTTGCATATTTACCCAGCCATCAGCAGTTTCTCCTGTTGTCTAATAAGAGAAAAGAACGGAGTACTTAGCAGTACCTCACCTCGAGGTAAGAGCAAAGAAACCATCTCCAAAATACAGGGACTACTAGCTGCTCTAAATTTTTTCATTCCTTCTACGTTTTCCATAAATCCACCTGTCCTCTTACTAACTCCCATTCTGGAAAGGCCAAACGCTCAAACCTACAGCTTCAAATTCTCTAGGAGTGAAAATATGGATGGAAGTCTCTCTCCTTTCCATCTTAGGGAGAGGATTCGCTTCCCTCTGAAAAACAGGAAAACTCATTCATAAAACTCAGTGTTTCTGAATAAATGTCATTTTTCAAAAGCCTCTTTCAAAAATACAGATGGATGATGGTACCCATTTACCATAAATTTTCAACACCAGACTAAAAGTGATGTTGATTTGTCACCCTGAGAATATTGCTATTAATGCAGGTTGGGAAGAGCATGCCGGCAATCTAACAAAGAAATAACAATCAGGCAAACCAGCAAACCCCAAGAATCAGCAAAGGGTAAGTTTCCTTACCTCTAATAATTTATATAATTCCTCAATTCTTCCTTTTTCTCTCTCCTTGGCCAGAATTTCTGTTTCTTTGAAGTGTATATATTGGTTATAAAGTGCCTATAAAATTAATATTTGGTGAATGAATGGATGCATGCAAGCAACCTGACCCACTTTGTATACCACCTCACCCCAGGAGCCAGCAGCAGCGAGCTCTGAGGCTTAATCCCAGCATTGAACTTTATAAAAGACAATTTAGGTCTGTGACTTTACCTTTAGTTCAACAGGGTTCTGGGGAAAAGATTTATCTGACATCAGTATTGTATGCTGTTTGATCCAGGGAATGAGGGAGTCCACTCGGCTTTGGTATTCTTGCCACCTGGAGTCTACTTCCTATTGCCAAAAGGTAGATATCACACACCTTCTGATTAGCGGTACACAAGACAAGCACAGGAGACAGTAGCTCAGGCCACCCCAAACCACATAAAATCCCTTTCCTCTCACTGCCTACACAGCTGCTCAGCCTAATGCGTGGAGTCCCAGTTTCAGAGCTCCTCAAGGGCTCTCAAGATGGGATTCAATTTCCTGACACTAGAATAGTCTATGCTGGATGCTACAAAATTAGCAATATCTGGACTCATTCCCAGGGACCAAAGACAATGACCATGTATAAAGATGATGTGGATTCAGTTTGCTCTGTATAAAAGTGCTCCTCATACAGTGAGTGCTTGAGAAACAAAGTCTAATCAATGCATTCCGCCCAAACATATCAAAGCCAGAAGGTATTTTAGGGAAGTTTTCTTTTACCGTAGCACTGATCCCTTCTCCACCCTCAGGGACTTTAGGGAAGGCATCATAAATTGAAGACACGTAAGTGATCACAGACTTTTCATCTGGAGATGGCACATCCACATCTGAGAGAAAAAGGGAAAGAAATTTCTTAGAACAGAGGGAGCTGCCAGCAGAAGGACAATGAATATAAGCCAAACAAACTCAACACCGGTCCACTCTCACCTTCTGCGTCCAGTAAGCGGGTGACCCCCAGTCTTTCTGCTACTTCGAAAGCTTGCTCCAAATTCTCGCGGTTACTTTGGATTTGTACCCTTTCCATATCTACCAGATCAGGTCTGTAAAAGTCCACCAAGACACGTGAAAGGCCTATACATCACACAAGTTCACACAAAGCAAACCTCTTAGAAGTACCCAGAGCTGGAACACACTAATTACATTAGAGAGAAAGCAAGACGTTTAGAAAGATACTAATCCCATTTTTAATTACATGCCAGGAACCCAGTGCTCCCTCATCCTAAACCCATAACAGCAGGTTGGTTGGATTTTATGGGAAAGCCAGTATAGGGTGAAAGCTGGGATGTGTTTATGATCATTAAGAGTGCAATAATTTTAATTTTTGTCATCAAAATTCCTATCTTCCTCACTCATCTCACTCCAGCCAGCTGCTATTCCTCATCCACTCCAAGTAAGCACCCACTTCAGACCCTCTGCACTTGCTGTTTCCTCCAAGTGAAGCCCTCTGACCCTAGGAGGACTGTGTGGCTCGCTCCTTTACAGCTCTGCTCCAGCACCCTAATCAGAGAGGCCATCTCCAGCCACCCGTCCCAAGTACAACAAACCCCATCACTCTCTACCCCTCTACTGCACTTACCACCATATAACAGAATGCATTTCTTTGTTCACTGCCTAATAAATAAACTCCATGAAAGCAAGAGCTGTTGTGGTTCTGTTCCCTGGTGTTTGTACCCAGTGCCTAGAGTAGCAGGAATTCAATACATACTCCTTTTTGAAGTGAGAAAATGAGTCAGAGTGTTGATCCTTGGTTCAGGGAAAAAGTGGCATTATAACTTATTGCAAGCAAGATGAGAAGAAGCTCCTCCAGGCACAGTGAAATCCCACTGCATTTACCTGTATCGGTGAATAAGTGCATTGAACATCTTCCCATCACTCCAGCAGGAGGAAAAGTTGGTACATTTGATCCCTGTGTAACCAGCTGTCACCTTCTGGGTCCACAGGAGAAGCTTCTCCTTGGCTGACATGTCCCCTGATTCTCCACTAATGTAGATGTCAGAGATCTGCCAAAAGATATGGCACGGGTACTTTAGCATAAATAAGAAGAAGCCTTCTAGCCTTCTCTTCTTCATGCATATGGCTCTTAGAAGAAGAGGGAGATCGAAGGCTGGTACAACTCTGAATGACAACTCTAACAGATATTCACTCTGTTTGGTAGTCAGAGATACAAATTAAAACCACGAGAGGTCATTTTTCACCTATCAAATAGGGAAAGTTTTTTGTAATGATATTAGTTAGTACTGGAGAGAATACCTAACACCGGACATTCTCACATATTGTACCAGTGAAAATACACATGCCCTAACTCCTCCAGATGAAGTTTTGAATCAAAAGTCTTAAAATACACATATACTTGATAGGAAACCATCAGAGACACACACACCAAAAAAATTTATACAAGAATGCTTACCAACATATGATAAATGTTACAGCAAAAAGCTATAGAGCTTAAGCTCTAATAAGGGATTGATTGGTTACAAATTAATAGCACATACACAGGGTGGAATTGTTTGTAGCACTATAAAAAGGTATGCTTTGGCAAATCTTAATGACAAAAGAAAATGATCACCGTATGTTATGAAAAGAAAAAGAACGCAAACAAAACAATTTAATAGCGGTTTTGTTAAAAGATATACAGAATACCTAAATATATAGTCATATGTACATACATATATATACATACATACACATGCACACAAGGTATGTGATAAATGCATATATGTACATGAGGGTAAATAAGGGTAAATACAGGAGAGAAAGACACCAAACGAATCATCACAGGTATCTCATAAGTGGTAGCATTATAGGTGATATTTCTCTTTCCCAAATTTTGTACATCATGTACATTTTTATAAGAAGAAAACATGTTAGTTTACAAAACCCCCAAAATCCAGCACAGGAACTACTTAGAGGACAGTTTGGGAGAGAAGAAAGTGCATGCCTTTGGTTCCATGCAGACCTGGGTTTGAATCTCAACTTCAAAAACTGTAAGCTGGACCTCAGTCATAACATCTGTAAAGTGGGAATAAATAATACCTATTACCTTTTCTCAGGATTGCTTGATAACCGAGATCATATACTACAGCACCCAGCCCAGACATAGGGCTATGCTCAACAGAGTTCTGTTTGCTCTTCCTTGTATGGATGATGGTCTTCCTCCAATTCTTACTCCTACATAACACTAAATACTATCTTGAATTACTGGCTATTATTTCATACATTTGATCTTATCTCCCCAAGACTATATAGGTTTCCTGGGGAGCCAGTACCCCAGCTAACAATCAGAACTATCTAAAATTCAAGAGCAGCCCCAAGAGAGAGAGAGCTCCTCGACACAGGGCATGTTCAAGAAGAAGCGGGGATGTTGTGAAAGAAAAACTTCCAACTCTGAAACTCAGCGATCACGTTGCTTCCGTATATCACCCACTGCACCTAGTGTTGTGTTAGTTATATGCTGGACATTTAACACATTTAATTAATGATTATTTAGTTTAAAAATAAAACAATAGGGGCGCCTGTGTGGCGCAGTCGGTTGAGCGTCCGACTTCAGCCAGGTCACGATCTCGCGGTCCGTGAGTTCGAGCCCCGCGTCGGGCTCTGGGCTGATGGCTCGGAGCCTGGAGCCTGTTTCCGATTCTGTGTCTCCCTCTCTCTCTGCCCCTCCCCCGTTCATGCTCTGTCTCTCTCTGTCCCAAAAATAAATAAACGTTGAAAAAAAAAATTAAAAAAATAAATAAATAAAAATAAAACAATAAAAATAAACAAATGTATTTTAGGGTAAGGTCTACATAGAATCCCGAGACAGGCTACTTTTTAGACAGCAAACTTACTCATTAGCAAATTCAAAACAGTCTGTAGTATAACCAAACAAGTTTGAGCTCGTATCAACAATGGTTGTCTCTCCTGGAGTGAGACTATGGATAATTTTATTCTCTTTTTACTTTTCTTTTATTCAGGCTTTAAATACTGAACATACTTTACATTTATAATGAAAGCTACAAAACAATATTTATCAATAAGAAAAAGAAAAAGCCTATGAGTCAGAGAGACAAGCACTGGAAAGGAGGTATTTACCAGGAACATGACTTCACATAAATAAATGACCAAAGCTTCTTGCACCCCATCTTCCCTATATTTAAGATGAAACAATAACTTTATCATACAGTCATTATAAGGATTAAATAAAGCGATGTAGGTAATATGCCTAGAGAATGTGCATTTCCTTTCCATCATAATAACACACCATGCCCAGAACAACTTGGGGGCCAGGTGCTTTGGGCAGGGAAGGCACAAGCATGTCAACAGAACACCTGTCTCTTAGCTGTCTCCATCAGGTGCAGCACTGTGAATGGCGTAGCCTCCCTGGTCATCAGTACATGGGAACAATCAACAATAAGGCACTTTCAAGTCTCTGAATACTAAATTTACAAACTCAACTCATAGCAGATAAGATTAAATCAGGTGAAGATACTCTAAAATTCAGGGGAAAAAAAACAGGGCCAAGAACTTTCATACTTTATTGAGTATACAAGAAAGCTGAAGACTCCTAAATATTACTAAGATGCCTAAGAAAGGCTATGGGAACAAAAGAGCATGGGTGGCCTTCAAGGAGTTTGGAAAAGGGAAAGCCATAAGTGCTGCCTCCAAGACAGTGATGGTGAAATGGTGGCCTAACCAGCAGATCCAGGATTCCTGTCCCCTTGACAGGTGTATTTCTACAGGAGAAATCAGGCTGCCAAACTTTGATGATGCCAGCTAGTAAGATCAGCCTGCAAATCTGTCCTCTCTACCCACCGCCTCTTTGCTCTGACTCCATGTTCAGCTGACAACCTTCCATTATTATTTGCTCACGATACAGACATCCTAAAGCGACAAAATGCACAGAGTGGTCGATTCAAATACTGTACCACTTGGCAGTTATAATTCATACTGTAAATTAATTAATTTACATCAATTAATCTCTAGCCAGTATGATCACTGTGAATCAATCCCCTAGAACTCAGTCAACAACAAGTTACCAAAAAAAAAAAAAAAAAAAAAAAAAAAAAAAAAAAAAAGCAGAGTTGCAAAGCTGAGGGCCCAACAATGGATCATGGTACCCAAGCTATCATCCTGTGACTGCAGTGACAACAGCTCCTCCCTGATACCAATTCTATTCCAGTTCTCCTTACCAACACTTGGATGTGCTGATTTCAGTGGCCAGATACCACTCACCACTGACAGATCCCAGCACTTCCACTGCAGCCGCTTCAGACACAGTAAGGTAAAACACTGCCAGGAACAGGACAGGTGGAAGTGAAAAGGGATACAATTTGAATACACAAGATGAAATCTGAGTATTTGGGCTATTTATTTTTTTTAAAATCCCAGTTAGTTAATGGGTATTTTATGCCCAGTACAATCAGTCAATCTCTTTGGTGGCATCCTATCACAGTATTTTTGTATATTGCACTGAAAATAGTTCATTGAACAGCTTTACTTCAGATTTCCCACACAGCTATAATGAAACAGGGAAATGTCTGGATCCCTCAGGGAAAGGAAAAATACCCTGTTTGGACTAGGGCCCTTCCTAGACTGCGCTGGATGAGAAAAATAGGATTCTCATCACAACCATCTCAGTAATTACATTGGGCTTCTGTCCATCTCTTCATGTAACGTTCATATGTGATGTACACAGTGCTGTCCTTGGGGCTATGCAGAAGCTTCTACCTTAATCTTCCAAATACAGAAACCCGGCTTCAGTGTCAGAGAGCTCTCCCCCTCATCTGGGTTTTTAAAAATGAGCCATGTAGAGAGAGAGGACAGTCTCAACACCATCCCAGAGACTATGCGTGTCTACCTGAAGTCTCTTTCAACCCATGCTTTCCGAGGCTCAATTAATTCCTTCTCTGAAGTGTATCTAGAAACTTAAGGTGTTCCTAATAATTCAGTAAGTATTTATTAAACAACATCTCATCTGTGTTTAACATTATTCCAGGCACCATGGAGAAGAACAAAAAAAGTCAAACACCATTTATTCATTCTGTTATTTCTTGACAACCACCATATAATAGGAGCTGCATTTAAGTTCTTTCATCTCAAGATAAAAAAGTCAAACACCGGGGCAACTGGCTGGCTCAGCTGGTAAAACATGGGACTCTTGATCTAGGGGTTGTAAGTTTAAGCCTCACACTGGGGGGGGGGGGGGGGTAGAGATTACTTTAAAAAAAAAACTTAAAGGGGCGCCTGGGTGGCGCAGTCGGTTAAGCGTCCGACTTCAGCCAGGTCACGATCTCGCGGTCCATGAGTTCGAGCCCCGCGTCGGGCTCTGGGCTGATGGCTCAGAGCCTGGAGCCTGTTTCCGATTCTGTGTCTCCCTCTCTCTCTGCCCCTCCCCTGTTCATGCTCTGTCTCTCTCTGTCCCAAAAATAAATAAACGTTGAAAAAAAAAAAAAAAACTTAAAGAAAAAAGTCAAACATCAATTGTTTATTCTATTTTTCTTGACAACCACTATGTTCTAGGAGCTGTGTTGAAGTTCTTGGTATCTGAAGACAAAAACACAACCTTGGGCCTCAAGCCCAAGCAGTTTAGCAGGGGAGACAATATGCCACACAGATCAATGTTGTGACACAGATAAGCAACTAACCTGAAGGAGCATGCTGAAGAAGCTCTCTGAGATGACATTTATGCTGAGTTTCAAGACAGAAGTAGAAGTTAGCCAGTTGAAAAGAGGGAGATAAAAAAACATACATGCTTGCCTTGAAAGAATTTAGGTGGCAGACTCCCTATCTGGCTAAAATAAAGCTACCCCATATAAGGTACTCCCCAATTTTTCCAAATGACAACAGATGGATGGAAGAGAGGAAGGGAGAAAGGGAAGATTTGTGGTCCTCTTGCATATATAAACTTCTGGAAATTTTTTTAGATATATACACTTATTTATTTATTTATTTATTTATTTTAATTTTTAATGTTTATTTTTGAGAGAGAGACAGAGACAGAGTGTGAGTGAAGGAGGGGCAG